AATACTTGGTTAATCCAGGAGAAATTTGTAAAGCTTCTACAAGAGTGAAAAAAAGAAACATAAACGATGAAGGACATTGGTTCAAGAAAACAAATGAAACAAAGAAACACGTAGAACAAAAGAAAGAAAGTTAAAAACATACCTTTGTCCATTAATGGAGCTTCGGAGTTTTTGGGGAGGAAGAGACAAAGAAGCTGGAATTCACGTACATGGAATGGCCGGATGGCATCCATAACTGAAAAGGAAATAATTAAGAATTAATTAATTGACAAACAATAATGGAAAGAAATAATGGAATGGGTCTTGGCCGGATACCTACGTACAAAAAGGAAAGAAATGTCACAATGACCATCATGGCCTGCCCATTCTCACGTGAGAATTTAAAAAAAAAGAGTTGATCTAATGGCCTGGATTGTTTCTTATTTATCTCATTAGATGGTGTTCTTATTTGAACCAAACTATATATATATATATATATATATATATATATATATATGGAATTTTTAACCCACCGTTATACTAAATACCGAGCTTCTAAAACACTCTGAAACCTTCTCCTTCATGAGAGGAATCCAACGGTGAAAGAATCGTTGAAAACGATCATCAAACGAGGGAGTTATCACTCGCCGGAGTTTCGCCGGACTGAGTTTTGACGTCGAAGAACGGGGGATTATCGGCCGCTGCCACCAGTCAACTGCTAAACACTCTATGACGATCACCGACGCTGCTACCATGCCGCTCATCTGCCGTCAGCAAGGTAACCCGAAGGACCCCATGCGGCCCTGCGTGACTTTCGTTTTTTTTCGGCTAGAAACTTGAAGAAGCCGATTGTATTCTTTTTGTTATTTTTTGGGCCGTTTCATAGGTCAGTAGTTGGGCTGGGCCGAAATTGCTGGGCTTATTATTATTAATAATAAAATAAAAAGAAAAAAAAATGGATAAATTATTTAAAAAATTGAATAAGTGACTAATTATATCATCTTAATTAAAACGGTGATTATTTAGATACCGGAATTGAGGAAGAGAATTAGGAGCATCAAGACTTAAGGTAAGTTTCTCTGCTAATCCAAAATTGTTTCCTCGTATTATATACTTATTATGCATTATGTGATTAAGTGTGAATTGTGAATTATGTGAATGTGATTTTGAGGAATACAAATTAAAAGTACTTTTTGGGGTATTAAATATTTTTAAATACCCTTGAGACTATTTAGAGAGATTGAGAAATATTTTTGGAAGTATATCTTGATTCAAGATAAAATTAAGGATTTTATAAGAGGTGAGCACCCGGGAGAAATCCGTGGTGTCGGTTTTTCCACATCCGGATAAATGTGGAGGGTGGTTAGAGCTATATACCGCATGTTTAGTTTAGGTTGATTATTGGTGGCGGGAGAAATCCCGGTAAATATTGGTGGCGGGAGATTCCCGGTATTTCTTTTGAGAACTTTAAAAGTTCTTTGGTGGCCGCGGTAGTAGTTTCTAATCACCCGGGTATCTAACCCATTGTGAGGTAGGGGGACGTTGTCCAAACTACTTGGACTTCTTACTACTCGGAGGGCTTGGAATCCCTTTTAGGGGGTGTGCACACTTAAGGGTGAAGTTCAGTTTCAAATTGGTGGTCGGTGGGAGCCGGAATTACGGAATTGGTCGTACACAACAACGATTCATTGGGCTCGAGGAATCTTGAGTTTCACCCATCTTAAAAGAATCTAAGAGTGACATTGATTTTTGGAATGGTGATATTTTTTAGCTACAAAAGTTATATTTTGAAAAGTGATACTTCTTTTGAGATGTTAGTTAATTGTTTGGAGCTTATAAATATTATTTTTAACTATAAGTGTATTTGAGATTATAAAGTTGATAAATGATGTTTTGATTAAAAAAGAATTTCGATGGTGTGAGTATTTTTATATAGTATTATATGAAAAATTATTTTCGCCAAACTTGATTATTTTACGGGGTTGGGTAGTACTTACTTAGCTCTAAAGCTAATTTTTGTTTCTTTTTCTTTGTTTCGTTTTCTGCACTTTATTTGTGCAGATAATGATGAATATGAAGCTCATAATGTTTGACGAACCTGGAGAGCGCTTTAGAAGAATTTAGTGTAGTCCACACTTAGATTAAATAATGTTAGTAAATTTTGAATTCAAGTTTTAATTCGGTTGAACTCATGATGGATAGCCTTAACATCCAACCAAGTTGAGGGCTGGGTGTGGCGGTAACACACCCTTTTTTCCGTTACTGTTATTTCCGCTGCAAACCTCTATCTATTTTAAGGAAAAAATCAAGATTTTATCAATATATTATTATTTCAAGTATTATTTTGGGCGGGGAAAATGAGGGTGTTACACTTGTATCCCTTCCTAATCAATTAAGTAGTCATTTAGGCGGGTATACCACATCCGCCCGGATTGTTTTAATCCGTAAAGTGAACGTTTCAATATTATTGCAAACGCACTCCGTGGTGTAGAGTCACTTGATTTAGGTAGTGAAAGTCCATTAGGTACTTTCATATATATATCTCTTAATCAAGATCCCCATAGAGATATGTAGTAACCACATCCATCAATTGCATTTCCTGGACAATCATCCTGGACAATTGGCGGGAAACCAAGATATTGGCATGAACTGCATTTAATGAACCAGATTTGGTGGTTGAGAAGCTAGCCACTCACAATCCTCCACATCATCACTACCATCTACCACTCGGTAGTATAAATAGCAGCATTTATGTCATAGTTAGGGGTTGGCAACTTGTACTCACTAGTATAACAATTACTACCTTGAATTCTTAGCTCAGATTAGACACTTAGCCTCGGCTAGGGTGTTACAGGAAAGGATTGGACCGAGAATCCCTACCAGACATAGTCGTAGATCGAACTAGCTCCTCCGCAGGTTGATGTCGCTCGCTCCTCTGGACCACATGTCGCTCACCCTTCTTTGTGTTCAGACGAGCCTCCCCAATCCGGCATCTTAGTAGATTGGTGGTCAACCTTGAGCCCGACAGACCTTCCAGAAATTTTCACCCACACGGCCATGAACGCCTATCGGAATCTTCGCTTATCTGCCGAAGAGGTTGGCAAAGTTGGCTAAAAGTGAAATAAGAAACTCAAATTGAAAACTTGAATTTTTAAATATAAAAAGAAAAAATACTTGGGATATAAATGATATAAGCCGTATAAAAGTTGACGGTTCGGGTTATTACCACAAAATAAAATGCAAAAATACCCTTTAACCGTACCCGCCCCATTGGATAATTACTTCGCCCCATAACCGCCCCATTACCCAACGGATAATTTTTACTCAAACCATAACCGCCCCAAAGGGTAATGGGTACGTATAATCGCGGGTAATCGCGGGTAATTGCTTTATTAAATGAATCATTGATATTTTAATATAAAAATAATATTTTAAAAGGTGAAAAATGGTATCGCCTAGATGATTCTAGACTTCAAACGCAACTTTAAACATTCGTATATTTGCAAGACGAGCAAGAAGAACTATCAAAATCTATGATGAACTTTCACTCACACATTACAGTTAGTACATCTATTATCGATATATACACAATGAAAAGAGAAAAATCAAAACTTTCAGTAGTTGTGGGATAAATAATAGATAAAAGTATAATAAAAATATAACTAAAAATAAACGAGTTGGGTGTGGGGCAGGTAATGGGACGAACATGTTTAAAACCGTAACTGCCCCGTTACTCATAAAACAAATTAAACGAGTGTTCCTCGCCTCGTATCTGTTATCTGGTCAATGCGGTTTCCCCCATTTTGACTAGGGTAGTTTGGTGCGGATGTTCAACGGATCGGTCACAATTGCCATCCATATCTCTCACTCAAAAATGGGCTTTTGTGGTTTTGAACGGGAAGATTACACATAAAAAGGTTGTTTTAATCATTAGTTAATGGACTTAAATACAAAATCTGGACGGTACCATATGCAAATAAAATCGTTCAAATAAGGAAAGATATGTGAGTACTATGTATTATACTTCATTTAAATTTCTATAAAGGTGTACTATTCAAATTAGAATACAATAAAAACTTATGTGTTCAATAAATAGATAAAACAAACTCTATGAACAAAAAAAGTTGATAATGTAAATCATTTTGAGACAGATGAAGTATTAATTAATTTTTATATATGTATCTTTGTCGTACTTCAAATATTGTTGAATTTAAGACGGATCATATAAGAGCGATTAAAAGGCTCATTTTCTAGAGTACGTAAGAGCTCTCGTTCTCTCTATATATAGCGGAAGTGAACGTCTTCGTGCGTTAGGCTTTTGGAACTGCGCTTGGTCATCGGCTAGGTTTTGGAGCCGCGCAAAGTGATCGATGTCTAGGTTTCGTTTAGTTTTTTTTTGTGATAGAACATCGGGAAAATGGAGGGCAACACAATAGGTGAGATGCGAAATCTTGGCAAGCAGAAACAAGTGTAGATCTGTTCCAATTTTTAAACGCCGATGCAAGACACATAAAGAGGTTGAAGATGGGAAGGGATGACGAGATGAGCAAGAAGAAGTATTGACCGCCCCCCCTCCCCCCCCCGAACCACTACCTTGGAGTGACGGCGGAGCCAAAGATCGGAGGCTGACGTTTCACGGTTGGATTGGGTCACCTCCTATCTTGTGCTCTATTTTTTGTTCAAATTTTATTTTTGTTATCTCATACTATTTTATTTAATTTTTTTTATAGTCCAAAAAAAGAAAAGTCTTTCGGTACTGGTACCACAGGACCTGAATTTCCATCCGTTCCTTCTAAGCCACTGTGCAACTCCGTGAAGATAGGAAGAATCATTGGTACCAAAACCTCTTCCCTCTACCCTAAATGTGTCTAGCGGGATTCAAACCCAGCTGGAATGATTGGTTAAACAAAACTGTTTTATTTAATTAATACGTAGTAATTGTGAGTTGTGCGTGAGTGGAATCACTCAGACTAATATTACCAATAATAGCTTTAATTATTGAACAATATTGAACAATCTATTATATGTCTCGTCCAGAATGAATAGACACTGGACACTGAACAGCCGGAAATGAACCATCTAGGAACGCCAAACGTGTTTAGTCTCCCAAAATATACTGTATAAGTTTTGCCCAAATAGTCGAACTTCAGTGGAAATCAAAGCTTTTGTTGTAGGCCTGTACTCCGGCCGCCCTTCCTCAGCCGCACGTCAATGTTGCTCTCCTCCTTCAAACCCGTCGTGTGTTGCCTCCCCTCAAGCTCCAGATCACGCCTCACCCCCGTCGATGCCACGCCCGCTTCAAATCTGCGTCTAAATAGCCATGTTTCTTCTTTTTCTCATCAGGTTTCAATTTGATCTGCTTTTCTTCTATTCTAATGCTCCATCTGTTTTAAAAAGATTTGAATGTCTACTTTTCTCTCTCAATACATGGGTAAATCCATAAATGAAATTTTAATTATTGCTATTGTTTTATTTTAGAACCTTAACCTTTAAATGAATTGAATCAGTATAATAATTATGGTACTCTTAAGGTACTCTATCTTTGTCCACATGGACCAATTAGAATGATGTAGTTGAATTATTTAAATCTAAATTAAAAATGATGTAATGATTTAAACCAATCAAATGAGTACCAGGTACGGTATCCTATTTTTTAAATGGGTACCGGAGTTGTAACAGATAATTATACATTAATGTATTAGTTGATAATATTGTTCAAATTCAAACCAAAAAATCATAGACGCCCGGAATTCTATTACGTAAAATTCACCCCCACTTTACTTTTCTCCGTGGTATTTTGATTGAAATGTAGGATATTTTTGCCGCAAATTTGACTGATATTGTCAATTGAAACATTTAGATATTGTTAAGATAACAAATGCAACAATATCAATAAGTAAGGTAACATTTTACTGATTCATAGACAGTTTCATTTGATATACTTATTTAACATATGAATATTTTATTACATTTTAAATTGAATTTCGGAATTTTGTAGAACTTTCAATTTGATATGCTGTAAATTTAATGCCACTTTTGTAGAACATTCAATATGAAACCCCAATGATCATCTCTAGAAGAGATATTATGTCAGTTATGTGGCTAGCAGCCTCTGGGCTCTTCACTCCCATGGCTAAACCAGCCAAGGCACTGGAACTAGAAGAAGCAAATTTGAAGAAGAGCCCCTTTTCACAGTTTCTTGAAGCTATTAAGGACAAAGTTGGGCTATCAATGCCAAAATCAGATGTTGATGACAATGAACTAAAAACAGGGGCTGAGACTAGAGAGTTATCAAAGCTAAAGACTGAAGGGGATGATGTGTAGAAGAAGCCAGCTTTTGTCGATGGTAAGTTGGATATATCAAAACCAAACATTGAAGGTGGTGAGCCGAAATCAGCGAAGAAAATCGAAAGCTAGAATCCTAGGATTGAATGGTTGAATGCTACCGTACTTTATCATGTCTCTTAAAACTTTATTTATCTTTGAATTTTTTAATTAATTAGTTCTATTTTGAATAAATGTATATTTTTATAGGAAATTATCTATAAAACAAAAATGATATGCAAATATTCTTTAATAAAAATATTTTCATAAATGTATACACTTATAATTTTAATAAATTTTTAATATAAAAAACAAATAAATAATTTGGAATTGGAAAAACGAACAAGAACCGGAACATGAACCGCTAGTTCTGAAGCCGAGAGTGCATTTTGCTTCACCGAAATTCAGAACCCCAAACCGGCGGTTCTTTTCCGGTTTTGTTTGGAACCGGGGACACCCATGGCCCCTAGGGGGTAATTAATCATAATTTGTATTAATTAATATTTCGTGTTATTCGGGAATATAAAACATGAGCTCCTATTTAGAGAAGATGGCCATGTTTTACTCCTTTTTAAGTTAATTAGTTTGGTAATAATGTATTACTTTTCACATTTCAAACACAAAACATAACACAGATTAAAAAGTCATTGAAGAAGTAGGATTTAACCATTTTGTACATGTTTTAGCAAGAAATTGATAATCTCTACTAACAATCAAGATAAATGAAGTAGGGGAATCGTACAAGAAATTATTCTATGAATTACAACGAGAAAGTAATATAAAATATTTGATTGAAGAATATTGTTCTGAATACAAGTGTGTTGGTGATCAAAACAAGCCACAGTAGACCTAGTGCTTATGGGAAAACTCAAATCTTTTATGTTGAGCAAAGTGGCAGGCCTCACAAACAAAGGTTTTGATGGTCGCAGATAGAGGTAAAAGTCTAGAGGGGGGTGAATAGACTTTTAAAGCTTTTTCTGCTTTAAAAACTTTTCCCTTCTAGATGAGTTGATCTATAATCCTTTGGAGATTTATATATGCACAGCGGAAGTCTTTAACCTCTTAGATAAATAGTGTTTACCAACTTTCTATGATGGATGTAGTTTGGGCCTTGTAAAATGAGCAGTTGGCTTAGCAGTTGGCTAGAAAGCAGGGAACTGTTGATGCAACTGCTAAAGAAATATTCAGTGTATGATGAAAGTGCACTTAGAATCTTTCTTAGAATGGGAAGAGCTTTCTGATGATATAACAAAGTAGACTGATAATCAACCTTAATGAAAGCAGTGGTCTCAGCAGTTGGGTGGTAACCAGGGAACTGCTGAGGCACCTGCTTAAGTAAAAGTGAAGGTATGGGAAGATTGATTATATGGTGTTGCTCAGGATGATGAGGGCTTTCTGAAGATGTACATTAGTCCAAGTAAGTGGAAGTTTTACTGAAGCAGTGGTCTCGGCAGTTGGGTGATAGTGAGGGAACTGCTGAGGCACCTGCTGGATTACCACTTTGAGTTATAGAGATCAGGTTGATTAGACTTCTTAGAGATAGAGTTGTGAAGGTCTTGTGAAGTTGAGATGTTCAAAGGAAATACTTTTGTGTGAGCAGTCGGCTCAGCAGTTGGGTAGTCACCAGGGACCTGCTGAGACAACTGCTATGCCTTAAGTAAGATTTCCTGAAATCTAATGGGACAGACCTTTATAGTTGTGATATTGCAAAGCTCTTGTATCTCAAACAAAGTGAGTTATTGAGCAGTAGGATAATCAGTAGGGTTAATTAGGACTACTGCTTAGGTTGCTGCTGGCAAACTACAATCTTTTATGAGAAGTGTTGGGTGTGTGCTTTGTTGACTGAAAATAAATTAACACACGGTATTTCCTGGTTCAGAGGTAGTGTAATCCTCCTACATCCAGTCTCATCCTCTTTCAGATGGATTCCACTAATGTATTAAGCCCAATACACTTAGTGTCAATCTAGCCTTGACAACTCTGGCCTAGATTGAAGGTGTTTCACGAGGAGTACAACACCACTCCAAGCTACTCAATCCTTTAGGTTTTTCTCGATTGATCCAGTGGGGATCAAAAGGTACTCCTGACCTATCTAACCACACTCAGGCCGGGAACAACTGTCCTCCTGAAGTATTTACAACAATATATGAATTTGGTTACAAGAAAGTTCTAACCTCCGACTAGGAACTAAACTTCTAAGATTTGGCAATTAACACTTGAGACTAAGAAGTTTAGTGAAGCAAGAGTCTAAGTAGAGAGTAAAGTATAGAATAGCACTTTCTCTTTTGCTAGATAGCTCTTGAAGGCTCGAAGGATATTTCTCTACTTAGGATGCTCAAGCTTGGTTAGAAACTTTCGTTTCAGCCTCTATTTATAGGCTTTTTGGCTGATCAATCTTATCCGTTGGTTAGGATAGATTGATATCTTCCGTTGAATTTCTGGCAAGGACGAAGTGTACATTTGTCTTCTTGTGCTGGAGTATTTAATGCGGCAGTTCTCTTGTCTTCATAAATTTTGGGCGCTGAAGTATCTTCTATGTGTGCGTCCCATGCTGCCGTCCCCAGTACTTGATTTGGTATTAAATACCGGTTAAGATTTGTCTTCAATCATACATATTCAATGTATGTGATTTTCCGAACATCTTTAAAAGTGTGACTTTTATTTAATCTTTGAGTTAAATAATATATGCCGGTAGGATCTAAATATCATATTAAGGTAAATAAAAAATTACCTTATTGCATTTTTACTTTTCCGGTAATATTTCATTAGTTTCAAAAATTGTACATTTATTTTGTCACTTATGATTAGTTTGAGTACTAATACTCGAATTGAATTAAGACATAATGTACTAGTGCACAGTATAGTGGCATCATCAAAATCTATCAAAATTGGGTACTAACAGTTTTTATTGATCTATGTTGAAACATCATACATTCAATATGATGCAACTTATTGACAGGTAAATGACCCAGTCTATAATGCCACAGCTGTGACTTTATTGCATTACAATTGAAAACATGTAAAGTACTATCCCCCTTCTTATTGATGTGTTTTCCTTCTTGGCAAGAAATCATAAGATGATAGAGGCCATTCATCTCTTTAGCTATACCAATCATCTTGCACCCATGCATCTCTTGAATTAGACAACAATTGTCCAACGCAGTTAAACAACAACGAGATTGTATGGTGAGTTTACTTGCTGAAACAAGGTTAAAACTGAAGCTAGGCAGATATAACACCTCCCTTAACTACAGAGTAGATGATAATTTAATATCTCCTATATGAGTAATAAGCTGATTGCTCCCATTTTTTAAATTTACAACAACACCCTCTACTGATTTGTAGGATGAAAAGAATCTTAAATCACAAGCAATATGATATGTGGCTCTTGTATCTAAAATCCATGTAGAATTTCATAACACGATCATTTTCATGATATTGCACTATCTTAGCTAGCGCATTACACTTGCATCTAGGGCTGCATGTACAAGCAGGAAGAGGTCTTAAAATGTTCATTTCATCCCATAAAATATTCGATTGCGTGTAATACTGAGTAACAGTTCTTGTTCCTTGTTTCAACATTCCTATTTCATCTTGTAAATCTGACAATCTAAAAGCATTACCCTCTAGAACCGTTCTCTTAGATCAGTCCAGATATCACTCCACTAGTGGAAAATGAGTGATATGCGGTGCCTGTTTTGCGGCGCTTAAACAATAAGCGCCTTTAAAAATCTAACGTGCGGCGCCTATACTCTAAAGCGCCGCCCACCCGTTCAGTTATTTAATTAAAATTGTTAATTAAAATGGTGTGCGGCGCTTCGTTTTATTTAAGTGCCGCATAGGTTTTATTTTAGAATTAAATCTTTCTCACAGTATTCAGGCGTGCGACGCTTTTTAACAAACAAACGCCGCGTAGCAATTAAATTTTATGTAAATAAAGCTCGTGACGCATTTTAAAAACAAGCGCCGCATATACTTTAAATTTAATTAATCGAAATTCAAATTATTTTTGTCGCTGAGTATAGGCGTGCAGCGTTGTCCACCGACAAGCGCTGTGAAGTTTTTTTAATTTTTTTAATTAAACATTGTGGCGCCTCTTTCAGTTAAGTGACGCATAGGTTTTAATTTTTGTTAACCCTACCCCATATCATCGATCTTCTCTTGCGCAGGGAGAACGAGGAAGCTAGTTGTAGCCGGCCGCCAGTTAACTCCGCCCTTCGACAGACTAAATCTGCCGGCCAAATCACCCTTAGCCGCTGTAACCTTACTTTAAGCCCCAACCTTCTATGTCAGTTGAGCCACCTCCGGTCGTCTGCGCCAACATCATCCCCCTCGCCAGAAGATTCAACAGGTAAGTTTTAAAAATCATTAGTTCTGCTTCACTTTGGCCTTAAAAATCATTAGATTTCTATCTGTATTTGTAGAACACAGCTCAACCGGTCCATTTCTTTGCTTCCATGCCTGTCGTTTTCATTGAAATTGAATATGTTGATGATTAAGCAGTGAGCACACATCAATAATGACCCCCTAATCTTTTATTAACCAATGATAAGGTACTGAGATTATATCCTCCATCTCAACTGCCATATTCAAGATTGTTTAGGATGTTAAATTTACTAAAGTTATACTAATATGCTCAAAATCCCAAAGATGGTTAATTGTGAACTTTTGAAGTGTTTATCTATGCACAATCATAGATGATATTGATATCATATTTATGACATAGTAAATGAGTGTCACACCAACTGAGACACCTCTGCTTCTTGTACCAATGGTAAAAAATATAGTATACAATAAGGAGAAATGAAAACACATGTTACAAGCATTACATTAATAATTAAGGATCAACGGTTTATGTACAAATTTACCTCTATTGCTTGTAAGTTATGATTGATTCTCAACCAAATTAAGTTGCATTATTCATCGAACCAAACAAGATTTTGATCTATCACCTGTTTTTTAATTGGTTTATAATAATATACACCTGTTTTTTTATCTAGTTTCATCGTCTTATTACTACATAAATCTAAGCATTCAAGAATCATTTGCAGGAATCATAAAAAGAAAGATATCTCGGCAATGAATACTATAGGGGCTGTATTGGCGAGATCCAGCTCCGAATGAAGGGGGAATATGGGTATTAAGAAAAGGGATCTCCCAGGAGTCTAAAACCAGCCGGTCCAGCCCGATGTCAAGGTGAGACGCCCAGTCCAACTCTATTTTTTTCTTTATTTTATTTTATTATCCTGTTATTTTTAATATTATATTTATATATGTAATACGATAGTTTGATGTTAAATAAGAAATGTTATTATGTGTGGAGTATGATTTTTTTTGAATATTTCAGAATATGTTTATTTAAATTTCACTAATACCTAACTAAATATAGTCAAACTCTTGCATTTTGAAAAACTAGATGGAATCAAACAGGCATATAGCTAATTAAGGCAGTAGGACAGGCCGGGGTTGGGGTCACTTATTTTTCTGAATCCTCTACTATTCCACTTTTTTTACCAAGACAAAGACAATCTTTTTTATTCATTTAAGCACTAATCAAGTATTAGGCCGGTTTTGTCCTCAATCCAAATATAGCATAACTCTTTGTAATAACCTGCCTCCCATTAATTTTATTTGATCCAACAGTTCGAATTGGCTTATTTTGATAGTATTAAATTGATTTAAATGTAATGTTTGAGATGAAGCTTTTAAATGAATTGAAGCATCATAAATGAAGTTTTTACTTGACTGAATAACTTAGTTTGTGTTATGATTGACATCTAAAATATGTTACTCCATATGTTTTTTTGTGTAACTAGTAATTTATTACTCATTGCATGTGCTTTACCAGAGTAGAGATTTGTTCGTCATGGACCGCAATTGGATGTATGGTTTGCGAAACACTTTAGAATTTTTCAATGGCGCCAATGATTTTATCAAAGTTGCCGTTGCGCACCAGAAAGAACAAGGAGAAAAGGGAATTTTATGTCCTTGTTCTATGTGTCGTAACCTCATAAGGGAAGAAGATGTGAACATAGTTCTTCAACATTTATTTGAGAAGGGTTTTAAGGAAAATTATACAACATGGACATTACATGGTGAAAAACGTGTAGATGTTGAAAATCATTATTGACAAGAAGGGTACAATGACATATTTCAAACATGCATTAAATGTCAATTTTGAGAAAAGAATGATCTTGTTGCCATATAATGAAGGGTAGGTGTAATGTAAATGATGGAGTATATGGCCCAGGAACCCCCGGTCCATAGACTCCCATTATTCTAATACAGACCCAACAGGCCCAGGAAGCACAGCAGGCCCAAGTCACTGCGCCCCAAGAGACAGGAGGCCCACGCTGCCCACGCAGCCGCCTTCGGCCCCCTGGCCGAAGGCTCATAAACTTACAGTACAACTGCTTTTAAGCACTCAAAGTGTCTGGGAGAAAAAGGCAAAAACAGTAGCCCTCGGCACCTAGAGTCCTCGGCACCCAGAGGCCCCCGGGTTGAAGAGCCCTCGGCTAATCATATACAGCCGAAGGCACCTCTCTCGACAGAATCTCTCATCCACATGCGCTGGATCAACGTACCAAGTACAAACGTCACATCCAACCACCGCATTTAATGCGGCCACATGCGAGTGCCAGTGCCACCCCGTTGAGGTGACCCCTCGACCACCAGAATGATGACACGTGTCCATATCTAGCATTTGTTGCTGCTATAAATAGCACTCCTTTTCCCATTTGTAAACCACGCTCAACACGCTGAGTTCACTTAATAATACTTGACTCTCTCTCTTACTACTTTTGCTCTGATTTCTCTCTAGTTACTCCCCGTTGTAACCCCTCGGATAGATACCCCTCGGGTACGCTTATCCATCAGTAAAATTACTATTTTGGTTATTTAAAATTATATATATTGACTAACTTGATACATGTTTTTTAAAACTAGGTTTCATTGGATCTTGATTGTCATTTGCCCAGCATTTGATAAAGGCTTCGTATTTAACTCTATTCCAAGTGGATCTAGGTTTGCCATACAAAAAGACTTGGGAATGTAAGTATTATTTCACTGTTTTTTAGTATATAATTGTTATATGTGTTGTACCTTATAACTTATATAATACATTTAAATCTTTACAATTCTTATAGAGCGTATAGAGTTGCTTCTACACAAAATGGTGGTGGAAAGTCAATCAAGTGGCATGATATCACGGTATATAAACTCAATATGTTGTTCAATAAGTAGCATATTTCATTTTTATTATCTTTGACTATTTTTATATGCATTATAATTTAAGTGTGCGAGACAACTTCGGAGTACCGAATGTGGATATTATGTCATGCGATATATGTGGGAAGTAGTTTTTTATCAAGGTAGCATTGACATCGGAAAGGTATAACAATATGTTTTACTTTGACTATTCTTATGTACATTGTACTATACAAACTAGTAATTTTTTATGTTTTTTATTATTTCAGGATTGGTCACCAAGAAGTGAAGCGTATACCGTTGAAGAGTTTAACAATATTCGTGATATATGGGCAAGGTTCTTTTTAATTAGATGTAGTTATAAATATGTAGATTAGATACAATTCTTTTATTTAAGATTGTAATTTAAACTTTGCTTTTGTCATTTCATAGTTTGGAAGTGTCGCTTTAATTTGTCTTTGATGTAACAAAACAATGATGTATGTTTGTATTTTGTTAAACATGTAGTGTGTTAGAATGCTAGTAACAATGCAGATTTGATGAATGTGTACGTTTTGGCAAATTAGGAATTATTAATTATTTAAAATGTATTTAAAAAAAATAACAAATGCGGCGCTTTTTTAACATTATGCGCCACATGGTAGTTTAATGTCAAACCCGTTATGCGGCGCTTTTATATAAATAGGCGCCGCAAGTAAAAAACGATTTTTTTAATTTCAAATATATATATATATATATATATATATATATATATATATATATATATGCGGCGCTTTTCCTAATCAGGCGTCGCACGATCAGCAGAATTTTATTTTAAATTTTATCCCGTATGCGGCGTTTAATTCAAATAAGCACCACAAACTATGCGACGCTTTTATCCAAATACACGTCGCAAATTTGACCTGTGCGGTCAGATATGCGGCGCTTAAAAGCGTCGCACTTATCCAATAAAAGGGCCGCATACCACTCGTTTTCCACTAGTGCTCGTTAATTCAATCCATAAAACACTTTGAGCAATAGAGGGAGAGATTGATTGTACCAGCCATGAACAAACCATGTTATTCCATCTCTCCCATCATTCCCATGTTTTGTACGCAGAGTTAGCCAACGGAGGAGCGCATATAGTTCCATCAATGAAACTCCACTTGTTCTTCGACAATAGGGCCATTTTCATTGATCATGACCATGAATGATAGTTTGGACCTATAAGAGGAGGATTTACAAGCATTGAACCTGGACTCTCACTTATGATGAGCTAATATGGATTGTTGGGAATTGGGATCATTTCGATCAACAAACAATGATGATTCAGATTCTTCGTGTTCCAGTGAGGATCCAGATCAGATCATGTCGTAACAGTGGCGAAGCTGGGAAATTGTTGCTTTGATACCATCTTACGAGTGAACAACCACAACTTTTGAAAAGGAAGAAGAAAACTACGTATTAGTTTGTTGGAACAGAACATTGAACCGTACAACTCATTCTTTTAGTTAATTTAAAACTAAAGAGTACATGTGTATGTAATAGAACTATATTACATACATGGTTGTCCAATTTGTTGGATCGATTCACCCATTTAGACAAACTTTCCAGTGGGTCATCCATCATTCGGCTTTCTTGTCCTGAACTCGCTTAACTATACAGTTCTATGGTTAAATAACAACCATATCTTTCCTAATATCAATTCGTGATAAGGAAGTGAACACGCTCTATTTAACCCATCTTCTGTAGTCCCTAAATCAATGTAGATTCATGTGGGGCACCTTCCACAGTTCACTACGGCAGTGCAGAGCCCCACTACTGAGCGGTGGATGGACATAAAGGGCTACACTACATCGTGGTGGCAACAGGTTGGGCATTTAAGCTCTCAATCAAAGGGTGATGCTGATCCCCCATAAGATCAACAATCACTTCCTAGCACCAGCCAAGAGATTTACCTATGACCTCGCTCTGATACCATTTGTTGGTTCCAATATATGAGATTATGTGATCAGCGGAATGGATTCATCGATGTAACAGAAGCATGGATTCAAATAATGATATGAATATTTATCGAACAGTGAAAACTCTCTTCTATTGAATATCATGAATTCTACAGAATGATAAAACCTTATACGTTCATTTGTTGAATACCTAAACCATACGCGCATATATATAGTTGCATGTGTAAGTTTCCGTAAAGGCCTAACGCCTAGGAATATGGGCCTAACATATTTGGACTCATTCCTTTTCTAGCCTATTTATTACAAAAGAATTAATACTATAAAAGACTATAAATAAGCTAACTAAAACAAGGCTTAGGAATCACAATAAAATGATCTTCAACCCAATTTATGATGGTCCTGCTCTTTTTCCTTGCCTCTTTTTTCCTCAAATTACCGCACTAACAAAATAATGAAAATGATATACGAAGTATTAGGGATTTGCTAGTTGTTGTGCTTTCGGAATTGAGATGCTTGAGACCGTGAACAAGAGATTAGGGTAACGTCAGGAGAACTTAAAACTATGGATAAAGGATAGATTTGGACCCAAATTTCTATTTTACTAGTTTTTTGTTCTAAAAAATAGAATAAGTATAATATATTAGGTTCTCACACCTTTAGTATAAGCATATATTTGTCCCTTTTCCCTAGTGAAAATAGCATAGTAATTACAGTAAACTGATTACGGGCTTCAACTCATCCCCTTATTATACGTTTTATATGCTCCTGATACTCCATAGAAAATTAGTTTTCATACCTCAAACATGCTCCAAATCACTCCTAAAATAGTACCCAAAAAAAGAAGACAAAAGAATAAAATTGATGAACAAAGACCCAATTTTATGGAAAAGTAATACTCACCTCCCTCCGTCCCGCAAAATAGTTCTCTGTTTCCTTTTTGGGCTGTCTCAAAAAATTGTTCTCATTTTCCTTTTTGGAAAAATTTGTGTGACTACCATTTATTTACCTTTTTCTTACAGAACCACAATCATACAATTCTACTTTATACCCACTTTCTTAAACTTCTATCCAAAACTATTTTATGGGACACCTGTTATGGAGTAAGTGTTTGCACACCTGTTATGTACACTTTTGAAAAAGATAATAAGTGTTTGCACTATATAATTACATAGTATATACTACGCATGCATACGTATGTATTACTAAAGAATGAAAATAAGAAATTAATTAAATAAGCAAATTGTGTTTTGTGTTAAATGACAGTAATTAGGTTAGTGCTCTTGTATATATCTTCACTCGCAGCAACATTTTCTGGAGAAGCCAGTACACTTGCCACTTGCATATCCCTGAGTTTCGCAGGCAGCAGCACATGCAGCTTCACCCCAACATCCTCCAAATTTGCCAAAGCATTTCTTGGCTTCTCCCATTTTTATTGGACCCATCTCTGCTGATACTTCTATTTAAAATAATAAAATAATTATTATAATTGCTATAACCAACCTTTCATAGCATTGATGATCTAACAACACTTTACAAATTAAATCTTGTTTAATTAAATAAAAAATAATGTTAAATATGTGGTCAATATTGATATTGGTTTTACGGTTTGGTGATTATTATTAATTCAAAAGAGTGTTCTAATGCAAGAGGAATGTGCTCTGTTTTAGAGATTTTTTTAAATAGTAGGAATAAAAAATACTGTTCCATTTTATGTCCTATTTTGGTTTGATACAATTATTAATAAATTAAAGTGGTTGAAAAGTAAAAAATTATGCTTTAATGTTGAATATTACAATTATTTTGAAACAACCTAAAAAGAAAAGTATGACCCCCTAAAATGGGGCTAACCATTTTTATTCTCAAATAGCACCATCATTCTTTTCATACGGAATATTTATTGTTTTCATTCTGTTAGTTGTCAATTTTATTCCTATTTTGAGGAATTTCAAATTTCTTTTTTTTTTTTGCAAGGAGGAATTTCAAATTTCTATTGTATTGAAAGAGAAATTACAAAATGAGATGGAATTCTTCAATTACAAAAACGAGAATTCTTATATCATCTTCAATGCATACTTAAAATAAAGAAATTCGAAGACCGATTAAACAAATTACTCACCCGATTAAACCAATTAATTTAGAAGAATGCGCCATCGCTCTCAACTCTTTTTTTTCAATTTTTTTATTTTTTTGGAGATGGATGCAAATGATATGAAAAGGCTAAATTATCTTGCCCGCTAAACACAAATATAGGTCGCAAACTGTCTTTAATTTGTAGGGTTAATAATGACTAATATTGTTATTTTCAGCTCTCACGTCTCATCCCCAATAAATAAAATGATGCTATTTTCAGCTATCATAGTTAGTGATTCTGGTTAGCTTTTTGTGATTGAATTGAGGTGGTAAATGATGGAGTATATGGCCCGGGAACCCCCGGCCCACAGACTCCTACTACTCCAGCAAAGGCCCAACAGGCCCAAAAGGCCCAACAGGCCCAAATCACAGCGCCCAGAGTACCAAGCAGTCCGCACAACGCACAGGGGTGCCTTCGGCCCCCTGGCCGAAGGCTTTAAATTCTCACAGAGCGGGTTTCTCAAGCAAACTAAGAAACTGGGAGAAAACGGCGAAAACAGTAGCTCTCGGCACTGTGAGCCCTCGGCACCAGGGGGTGCCATCGGGTGGAAGAGCCCTCGGCTACCGCTTTATAGCCGAAGGCATCCCACTCGATAAGATATCCGCCTCACATGCGTACAGATCACCGTACCCCGCACAGACGTCCCATCCAACAGCCGCATTAAATGCGGCCACATGCGGCTGCCAGCGCCAACCAGTTGAGGTGACCCCTCGGCCAATGGGCGCTTGACACGTGTCCCTGCCCGGCATTTATTGCTACTATAAATAGCACCCCGTTTCCCCATTTGTAACGACACTTAATACATATCGAGTATACACTCTATCTCTTACTTGTTTGCTCTGACTTCTCTCTAAGTTATTCCCCGTAATAACCCTTCGGATATATACCCCCGGGTAGACTATCCATCATTTGGTGCTCTCGTTGAGAGGTTGAACAATCGAGTAAGAAACCCTCCCCCTCGACCAAACACAAAACACTAGCCCTCTATCAAAATGGTGAGGACAACACGTGCCAACTCAAAGAACGTAGAAGACAAGAACCTGCCCCTCGGCGACGTCAACGCCCCCGAAGCCTCTCACAGGGCTCCCGAGGGCGGTGTCCTCGCTGGGCTGGAACAGGCGGCTGTCGACCTACGCCTTCAGATCCAACAAAATGCCCCTGATGCCCGCCTCGGCATCGAGGCCAAGAAGAGAAACCGGAGCGATGACCAAGTCAGCCCTCCGGTTCTCACCATCGACGTGCAATCGACGCTCTCCGCCTTCATCCAGACGCTCACCCAGAACCCGGGTGCCTTCGGCACCCTGGCTCCAGCTCACCCTCAGATCGGGGAAAATATCATACTTCCCCCTCTGCCACACCCCTTCGGAAATCCCACCCCTCGGGTGAGAAACGAATAAGGGGTGGTGGCCCAAGATACGTCCTCCCAGGAAGTTCAGTCCCGGGACCGCCATAATGACAA